CGACTCTCTAACCTAGCCAAAATGACTTGTACTGATTTCATCTCTCTGCAGCAGCTGCATTTGTGGGCCACTGGGGACTTTCTCAAGATTCTCTCTCTTTAGGTTTCTGTATACCCCTGAATCCTGCTCCTCCTCTTGCTTCTGTGAAAGTCCCTGCATAGTCAGATTGCAGAGATCCCAAACTCAACATATCCAAACCAAACTAGCTCCGCATTCGCTCTCCTTTTCCTGTATTTTCTACCTTGGCATCATTATCCATTCAGTCAATCAAATAGGTCCATTTTTTCCCATCTACTTATTTATGTGAACAAACTTCTTAACACTCAGAGCTACAGAAGAAAGAAAAAAGCAATATAACTGGTGCTAAATCCTGTTTCAATGTAGCAATAATTACATTCATCCACAGAGACAAGAACTAATTTGGGGAAGAAAAGCCACACTTATCTCATTAAAATATGCATTCCTCATTTTGTTTACTAGTTATTAATCAACATTTTAAAAGAGTGCTTTGATCAATTTTGGACAAGCAATCATTTGAAAAGATAACTCATAGAGAATAAATCTTTTAACATTTTATAACTTATGGTCAGTATCAATGTTAATATCCTGGTGTTGATATTGTACTATTGTTTTGCTGATGTTACCATTGGAAGACAATAGGTAAAGGGTATGTAGAATTTTTTTTTTTTTTAAGATTTTATTTATTTGACAGCGAGAGAGGGAACACAAGCAGCAGGAGTGGGAGAGGGAAAAGTAGGCTTCCCACAGAGCAGGGAGCCCGATGCGGAGCTCGATCCCAGGACCCTGGGATCATGACCCGAGCTGAAGGCAGACGCTTAACGACTGAGCCACCCAGGCGCCCCGGTATGTGGAATTTTTATGTACTATCTCTTAGAACTACATGTGGATATACAATTATCTCAAAATAAAAAGTTTAATTAAAAAATTATCACAAAAGAGTTGTTTTACTTAAAATATGTCTTTGGCAGAGAAATAGATGACTAAAGATGTTAAAAAATACGCATATGTTACATTAGTATAAAGTTCTACAGGAGAAATGAAATGGAAACACAAATTCAAACAGAAAAAGGTGCAATGAATAATTTCCCAATGTTAAAAAAAAAAGTGCATGGCCATGAATTTGTGAATGATGGTGATTATGAAACCATTATGTTACTGAAGTTTCATTTAGGAGAGTAGATTTAAAATTTATCTTTAATTGTCGATAATTTAAAATAATACGGCAGGAATTACATTCTTTGCCGCTATTTTAGATGTTGCTCTTAGAATGTATGAAGGGGTTCAGAGTTTTTCAAAAGTGTTTTAGGGGTTACAAGAGAGCAAAAATAAGTTTGAAAAGCACTGCACTAGCCATTCCAAGTACATTCCACTTCTAAGCATGTCCAGGTTTTTAACAGCCTGAACCTTGGCATCTATCAGTTCTTTCGCTCTGGAATGCTGTCTCATTGTCTGCCAAGCCAGCTCCTGCTTATCTTTCAACTCTCCTCTCCAGCCTCTGCCCCTGTGGGAATTCTTCCCTGATGTTTTGAGCACAGTTGGGCACTTTCTCTTCATGTTCCTACCTACCTCATAGGAAGTATCACACAGCAGTGGAAGTGTCTATCTGCATGTCTGCCTCGCGGTTATTTTGTACAGACCCTTAGGGTGATCTCATTTTATTATTGTATCTCCACTACTGCCAAAAACAGATTCAACCACTTTTCTTTGAATGAATGATTATGAGCATGGTATTGATAGCTTAGGACAAGGCTAGTTTACCACAAATTTAAGTCTTCTGCCTTTAAAGATATATTTTCAGTTTAAGTGCTGTGTACTAAGGCTAAAGATGTTCAAATTACTGAACATTAGAGCTCAAGGGGAACTCATTCAATCATTTACTTATAAAAAAAATTCTATCCTGCATTACCATAGTATTAAAAGTACAAAGTCGTGCTAAAAGTCAGGAATGCTGTGGATAGAAAAGCACAACCAGGAATGACATCAGTCTTTCCATGTACTGACTTAAGCCATTGGTGGTCAGAAATTGGATTCAATCTTCCAACCTTGAGGCTGGTGTACTTATCTGCTGGGTCACTCAGACCCTCAAAATGCAGGGGTTCTTGAATGTTGACACAAATAGATAATCTTAAGCTGGAGCCTAAAAGACTCTATTTAGAAAATGCTAAATGTCTTCTGTCATGTGATGCCAGCTGTCTATACTACCCTATACCTGATTTAAGTCAATATGGTTCCTTTGTTCTGTCACAGCTATGACTGAACAGGAAGAAATAAAGAAGAACATGAGCAATTTCATATTGAGCCCGATCTTTCAGCTGTTCAGTCTAGTCTTCTGCTTTTGAAAAGCACATTAAGGAACATGTTATGGTAGTACAGTTATTCCTAAGAGGTTTAAGAATAAAATATAAATATACCTAGTCTCTTTTGCAATTCATTATGAGTCAGTGACTCATGAGATAATTTAAACATTTCTTGAAACCATTTACATTTAATACCTTCACTCATTTATTCATTTATCCCTTCATTGAGTATTTGCAGAATACCTACTAGATGTGGAATACTCTGCTTATGCGTAAAGGTCACAGTCCTTATTCTGATTTCACTACTTTTTACACACACTCATGTATATATGTGTGTGTGTGTCTTGCAGTTCTATACAATTTTATCACATGTATTCCTTTGTGTAACTATCACCACAATCAAGATATTGAGCTGTTCCATCACCATTAAGATCTTTCTTGCACACAATCATGTATATGTGTGTGTGTATGTCTTGCAATTCTATACAATTTTATCACATGTATTCCTTTGTGTAACTATTGCCACAATCAAGATATTGAGCTGTTGTTCCATCACCATTAAGATCTCTTTCTTGCTATCCTTCATATCACACCCATACCATATCCCTCCCCTCACACTCCAATCCTGACCCCTGGCAACCCCTCGCTTGTTCTTTATCTATAATTACCTCATTTTGAGACTACAACATAGAATTTTGAGAATACTACATAAACCATACAGCATATAACTTGTGAGATTGTCTTCATTCAGCATAATACCCTTGAGATCCATCAAAGTTGTTGTACGCATTCATAGTTTGTTTCTTTTTAGTTCTGGGTAGTATTCCATTGTGTGGATGTAGCACAGTTTGGTCAGGTGGCTAGCATGGAAGGATACTTCTGTCATTTCCAGTTATTAGGCTCTTACAAATAAAGCTGCTATGAAAACTGATGTACAGGTTTTTGAATGGACCTATGTTTTGATTTCTTGGGGATAAACATCTAAGGGTCCAGCTGCTGGATCATCAGGTAAGCGTAGGCTTAGTTTTATAAGAAATTGCCAAAGTATTCTCCAGAGTGGTTGTGCTATTTTACTTTCCCAACAACAATGTGTGAGAGATCTGGTTTCTCTGCCTCCCTACTGGCATTTACTATTGTCACTTTTTTTTATTCTAGCTCTTCTAAAAAGTGTGTTACAATACCTCATGGTCATTTTAATTTGCATTTCCCCAATGGCTAATGATACTGAACATCTTTTCATGTGCGTATTTTCTTTGGTAAGATGTCTTTTCATGTCTTTGCCCATTTTCTAACTGGAATATTTGTCTTACTATTGAATTTTAAAATTCTTTATATACAGATCCTTTATGAGATGTGTGGTCTGCAAATATTTTCTCCAGGTCTGCCATTTCTTTATTCATCTTAACAAAGTGTTTCTCAGAGAAAATGTTTTAAATTTTGATTAAGTCCAGTTTGTCAGTTTTTTTTTTTATGGACCATGCTATGGGTGTCATATATAAGCACTCTTCATTTAGCCCTGCCCTTAAGATTTTCTCTTATGTTTTCTTTTAAAAAATTCTATAGGTTTACTTGGGGGGGGGGTGTTTCTTTTTTTAACTTAAATTCAATTAATTAACATATAATGTATTACTAGTTTCAGAGGTAGAGTTCAGTGATTCATCAGTCTTATATGACACCCAGTGCTCATTACATCATGTGCCCTCCTTAATGTCCATCACCCAGTTACCCCATTCCCCCACCCCCATCCCCTCCAGCAACTCTCAGTTTGTTTCCTATTATTAAGAGTCTCTTATGGTTCGTCTCCTTCTCCGATTTCATCTTGTTTTATTTTTCCTGGGTTTGTTTCTTTTAGTAATCAGCTTCATGTTGTATGTATTGTTCTTTGATGTGCTTGTTGGCGATGTTCTCAGCCTAACACAGTCTTTTTATCCATTATATATTTCACAGAATTAGTGTCACTATTTGGGTCGCTTCATTCTGCTATCATAATTATGCCCACTTTTGTACACAAATTTTAGCACAGGGGTTGGAATTTGAGGGGAAGAGTGTCAGTTTGAGTACTTGTTGATTTGAGATGAAGGCATATTGACTTGACATTGAGCAGATGGCAGGCAGTGCATGCTGACTCAGGCAGGAGAGCGGCTAGACTGTGGATTTGGAACCCACAGGCTGATGGCATTGTGTGTGATGGGGATGTGGCTGGTTTTGCTCCTGGTCATGAATTCCTTTATCTTTTGTTTTTCTGGGAAACTCTATCTCTCCTTCTATTCTGAATGAAACCCTTGCTGGATAAAGTATTTCTGGCTGCAGATTTTTTCCTTTTAGCACTTTGAATATATCATGCCACTCTCTGCTAAAAGATCCACTGATAGACTTACAGGGTTTCCCTTGTATGTAACTGATTTCCTTTCTCTTGCTGCTTTCAAAATTCTCTCTCTAGACTATGGACTCTAAGAAACAAACTGAGGGTTCTAGAGGGGAGGGGGGTGGGGGGATGGGTTAGCCTGGTGATGGGTATTAAAGAGGGCACGTATTGAATGGAGCACTGGGTGTTATATGCAAACAATGAATCATGGAACGCTACATCAAAAACTAATGATGTAATGTATGGTGATTAACATAACATAATAAAAAAATTCTTTCTCTCTTTATCACTACTTTTGGCCATCTTATTTATTTTGTAAAAATACGGAATGTTTCACAAATTTGTATGTCATCTTTGCACAGGGGCCATGCTCATCTTCTCTATATCGTTCCAATTTTAGTATATGTGCTGCTGAAGCAAGCACTAGTTTTGCTTTTTATATTTAAATCTCTGATCTATGTTAATTTTTTTACAAGGTATAAGATTCATATTGAAATTCATTTTCCTTTGTCTATGGATGTCCAATTGCTACAACACCATTTGCTGAAAATACTTATGGTATTAATGTCTATAGTATATATAAAAATATTATTCCTCTCATTTCTCATAGCGGTTATATATTCTTTCTTATTTTCATTTCTTGGTCAGTTTTTTTAAGGGTTTATCAGTTCTCTGCCCCTCTCCCCCCAAATTTAACTCTGTTAATTTATGTTTATTTTCTCTTTTATTTCTTCTCTTGTTTTTATTAATTCCTTCTGTCATCATTTTTTAAATTTAATATGTTATTCTTTGCTGGTTTCTTGAGATGGATACCTAGCTGAGACATTTCCTTTTCTAATGTACAAAACTATAGATCTCACTCTACTTACAGCTTCTTGTATATGCCATAAATTTTGATAGGCCCTATTGTCATAATCATTTCATTTAAAATATGTTCCTATTTTCACTGCAGTTTATTCCTTGAGCCATGAGGTAATTAGAAGTGTATCATAGTTTACAAATATTTGGGGATTTCCTAGTTTTTTGTTGTTTTTGTTATTATTGATTTCTACCTTATTTCCAGTGATATGAGAGAGCAAAGACTTTGTGATTACAACCCTTTGTAGTTTACTTTTTGGCCCAGAACTCTCAGTTAATTTTCCATGTACATGAGAACAATGTATATTTTTCGTTGTTCAAGTATACTACATTAATTTTGTTAATTAAGTCATATATTAATTATTTTTCAAATATTCTAGATCTCTACTAGATATTTATTCAGTTATTATTTTCTGAGAAAATTCTTTTTAAAATAAAAACTATGATTGTGGATTTTTCTGTCTTCTTTTTATTTTTGTCAAATTTTCCTTTACATATTTTAGGGCATGTTATTGGGTGCATAAAATTTATCATGGTTACATTTTCCAATTGAATTTACTTTTTATCATAAAATATTCCTATTTATCTCTGGCAATATGTACCACCTTAAAGTTTACTTTATCTGATATAAGAAAGCTACACCGACTTTCTTTGGACTAGTATTTTCATTATGTGATGTATATATACATCTTCTGATACTTTTTTTAAATTTAATTTAATTTTATTATGTTATGTTAGTCACCATACAGTACATCATTAGTTTTTGATGTAGTGGTCCATGATTCACCGTTTACATATAACACCCAGTAGTCCATACAATACATGCCCTCCTTAATACCCATCACTGGGCTAACCCATCCCCCCACTCCCCTCCCCTCTAAAACCCTCAGTTTGTTTCTCAGAGTCCATAGTCTCTCATGGTTCATCTCCCCCTGATTCCCCACCTTCATTTTTCCCTTCCTTCTCCTAATATCCTCCATGCTATTCCTTATGTTCCACATATAAATGAAACCGTACAATAATTGACTTTCTCTGCTTGACTTATTTCACTTAGCATAATCTCCTCCAGTGCCATCCATGTTGATGTAAAAGTTGGGTATTCATCCTTTCTGATGGCTGAGTAATATTCCATATATATATGGACCACATCTTCTTTATCCATTCATCCGTTGAAGGGCATCTCAGCTCTTTCCACAGTTTGGCTGTTGCCTACATAGCTGCTATGAACATTGGGGTGCATATGGCCCTTCTTTTCACTACATCTGTGTCTTTGGAGTAAATAACCAGTAGTGCAATTGCTGGGTCATAGGGTAGCTCTATTTTTAAAATTTTGAGGCACCTCCACACTGTTTTCCAAAGTGGCTGTACCAACTTACATTCCCACCAACAGTGTTAGAGGGTTCCCCTTTCTCCACAACCTCTCCAACATTTGTTGTTTCTTTCCCTGTCCATTTTTGCCATTCTAACTGGTGTAAGGTGGTATCTCAGTGTGGTTTTGATTTGAATTTCCCTGATGGCTAATGATGATGAACATTTTTTCATGTGTCTGTTAGTCATTTGTATGTCTCCTTTTGAGAAGTGTCTGTTCATGTCTTCTGACCATTTTTTGAGTTGATTATTTGTTTTTTATGATGTTGAGTTTGAGAAGTTCTCTATAGATCTTGGATACCAATCCTTTGTCTGTAGTGTCATTTGCAAATATCTTCTCCCATTCTGTGGGTTGCCTCTTTGTTTTGTTGACTGTTTCCTTTGCTGTGCAGAAGCTTTTTATCTTGATGAAGTCCCAAAAGTTCATTTTTGCTTTTGTTTCATTTGCCTTTGGAGATGTATCTTGAAAGAAGTTGCTGTGGGCAATGTCAAAGAGGTTACTGCCTATGTTCTCCTCTAGGATTTTGATGGATTCCTGTCTTACATTGAGGTGTTTCATCCACTTTGAGTTTATCTTTGTGTATGGTGTTAGGGAATGGTCGAGTTTCATTCTTCTGCATGTGGCTGTCCAATTTTCCCAGCACCATTTATTGAAGAGACTGTCTTTTTTCCATTGCATGTTTTTTCCTGCTTTGTCAAAGATTATTTGACCATAGAGTTGAGGGTCCATATCTGGGTTCTCTATTCTGTTCCATTGGTCTATACGTCTGTTGTTGTGCCAGTACCATGCTGTCTTGGTGATCACAGCTTTGTAATATAGCTTGAAATTGGACAACGTGATGCCCCCAGCTTTGTTTTTCTTTTTCAACATTTCCCGGGTGATTCAGGGTCTTTTCTGATTCCATACAAATTTTAGGATTGTTTGTCCCAGCACTTTGAAAAATGTCATTGGGATTTTGATCCGGATGGCGCTGAAGGTATAGATTGTTCTGGGCAGCATAGACATTTTAACAATGTTTATTCTTCCAATCCATGAGCATGGAATGTTTTTCCATCTTTTTCTGTCTTCTTCAATTTCTTTCCTGAGTGTTCTGTAGTTCCTAGAGTATAGATCCTTCACCTCTTTGGTTAGGTTTATTCCGAGGTATCTTATGGTTTTTGGTGCTATTGTAAATGGAATCATTTCTCTAACTTCTCTTCCTACAGTTGCATTGTTGACATCTTCTGATTCTTATACTTTCAGTCTTTTTTGTTCTCATATTTAAGATGTGTCTCTTACAAGCACCATGGTTGGGTTTTGTTTTCGGTCTGACAATTTTTGGCTTTAAAGTGGTATGTTTAGTCCATTTGCATTTAATGTAATTACTAATATGTTAGGTCATAATCAGTATCTTATTTTTTTATTTCTATTTGTTCTGTTATTTATTCCTATTTTCTTTCCCTTTGTTGCCTTCACTGGATCATTTCATTTCCTGCTCTGTTAGCTTACAAAAGATCATTTATCATTTAATGGTCACCCTAAAGATTACAACATGCATTTTTGACTTATTACTGTCTAAAATTACTAAAATCAGCACTTCTTTTAGATATAGGAAAGGACCTTACATTCTTTAACTTCATTTACTATCTTTTCTGTCTTTTGTACAATTGTTGTCATATTTTAATTCTACATATATTTTAAACCAAAAAGACATTATTATTATTACTTTTAATATTTTTATCCTTTCTAGTATCATTCATTTCTTTTTGCATGTCTCTACTTCCCATCTGGAGTCATTTTCTTTCTGCTTGCATAACTTTCTTCGGTATGATTTTACTGCTGATGTTAAATTATTTTGGTATTTATCTGTCTGAAAATATTTTTAATTTTTCTTTACTTTTAAAGATATTTTTGCTGAGTGGGCGCCTGGGTGGCTCAGTTGGTTAAGCGACTGCCTTTGGCTCAGGTCATGATCCTGGAGTCCCTGGATCGAGTCCCGCATTGGGCTCCCTGCTCAGCAGGGAGTCTGCTTCTCCCTCTGACCATCCCCCCTCTCATGTGCTCTTTCTCTCCTCTCATCCTCTCTCTCAAATAAATAAATAAAATCTTTAAAAAAAAAAAGATATTTTTGCTGAGTATAGTATTCTAAGTTGACAATTATTTTCTTTTTGCATTTAAAAAATGATATTTGTTGGAGAGGAAGGAAAGATGGCAGAGGAGTAAGGGACCCTATTTCAACTGGTCCCCGGAATTGAGCTGGATATCTACCAGACCACTCTGAGCACCCATGAAACCAGCCTGAGATGTAAGAAGATCTGGACCTCTATAAGCAGAATATCGCAGGCAGTTGGTTTTGAGGTATGAAGCAGGGAGCCCTGATTCCATGGGCAGATATCAGAGGATAAACAGCAGTGGGAGAGTGCCTGGCCGTGGTGATCCTACACCACTGGTGAGTGACAGCCTCACGCACTGGGGACGGGGCATGGACTCGCAGACCAGTAGCGGTGGGGAAAGGACTTTAGGGCAGCCCCCGGGGCGGAAACCCAGAGCGGCGGGGTCACACGGGTGAACTAGGAGCGGCTGGCGGTTTTAGAAGCACAAAGGGCAGAGACATGCCCCAACCTGGAGGCAGGACTGGCGGTGCTGTGGAGGGGCGCACAACCCAGGATGCTGCAGTGTATAGCAGCATGGACAGAAATGGAGACAGTGTGGCCTGGAGAGCTCACTGAAGAACAGACTGCGGTCTCTCTGCTCTGAGGCGGAGGGTTGGAAACGGTCTCTTCTGCTCTGACTCATGGAAGAGACACGGAAAGCCACCAGGGAAAGCTGCCAGAGAACAAAAGCCCCAAAAACTGATTCCTGCTGAGCCCATCCCCCGCCACAGGGGGGCAGGGCAACTCCGCCCAAACAGGGTTGCCTGAGTAACAGCACCACAGGCCCCTCCTGCAGAAGACAGGCTAGGAAAACAAGAGGCCAGCAACCCTAAGGTCCCAAGAAAACAGGTGCATCTTGCTTGGGTTCTGGTCAATAATTTGGACTCTATACATTCCCTCAAACACCCATCAACAAAATGACTAGGAGGAGGAACCCCAAAATAGAAAAGACTCAGAGATTAGGACTTATGCTGCAGATTTACAAATGGATACAGATATAACCAAGATGTCAGAGATGGAATTCAGGCTAGCAATTGTGAAGACAATGGCTAGAATGGAGAAATC